ATGTTACTTGGCCTTTTTCCTTTGCTGCTCTTAATATTTTCTCTTTATTCTGTAGATTTGGAGTTTTGATTATTATGTGTTGGGGGGGGGACTTCTTTTTGTGGTCCAGTCTGTTTGGTGTCCTATAAGCTTCTTGTACTTTCATAGGCATATCCTTCTGTAGGTTGGGGAAGTTTTCTTCTATGATTTTTTCTTCTATGATTTCTTCTATGTTTTCTGTACCTTTGAGCAGTGTTTCTTCACCTTCTTCTACACCTATTCTCTTGGATTCTATTAGTTATACTCATGTCTTTAGTTCCTGATTGTTTATCAAGTCTTTCCATTTCCAGCATTGCCTCATTCTGTATTTTCTTTATTGTGTCTATTTCAGCTTTCATATTTTGAACTGTTTCAAGAGCTTCCTTCTCTTGTTTGGTTGTTTTATCTTGGATTTCTTTAGATTCTTTAAGAGATTTGTTATCTCTTGAATTTTTTGGTTTGTCTTTTCCTCCATTTCGTGTCATTTTTTGCTTGCTTTTTCTTCTATTTCTTCAAGGGATTTTCTTGTTTCCACTTTGAAGGTCTCTATCATCTTGCTGAAATAATTTTTTGAGGTCCTTCTGTCCTTCATGCACTGTGTTGGCCTTTTCAGATCTTGCTGGAGTGGAGTCCCTAGATTCTGGTGGTGTCATATTGGTCTTTCTGTTGTTGAGCGAGTTCTTATTTTGTCTTCTTCCCATATATTTTTCCAGTGAGTGCAGGCAGGGGTCTCTCTATCTCCTCTTATTCAGCAGTAGTGTGTGTGGGCCAGGAATCCAATGTCCAAATCTCTGGATGGTCTTGCCTCAAGTTCCTGGGTCGGTCGGTGGAATGGACGAGTGGAGTGCTAGCAGATTCAGGGAGCAGGGAGCTCCTCCCTGCCTGGGTGTGTCTACTCCAAGCCTACAGGCGAAGGCGGTGGTGGGGTGGGGTGGGGGTGGTCGGGGGGAGTGGTGTTTTGGGTGGGAGTTGGGAAAGGGGTCCTCACAAGTTCCTGGGTCGGTCGGTGGAATGGACGAGTGGAGTGCTAGCAGATTCAGGGAGCAGGGAGCTCCTCCCTGCCTGGGTGTGTCTACGCCAAGTCCGCAGGCGCAGGCAGTGGGGGGGGGGTCCTGGGTGAGTGATGTTTTGGGCAGGAGTTGGGTAAGGGCAGAGACTCACCTAGTTCCTGGGTTGGTCGTAGAAAGGCCATGTTTCCATTCTTATAGTGAGTTAACTGAAGTGTTATTTTTTAAGTGTAAAAATTGCATTTAAAGTAATGATACATGTTGGTTGCCAACATGAAGCTTTTTCTCTAATATTAAATTTGGTAATGACTCCTTATGGGCATTATTTTACTTTATTTGCTACTACTTTTAGTTTTTCAGTATAGTCAAGAAAAACATAAACTGCAGAAAACTCTTAACAATCTCCAGGAGTCCCTCAGCATGTAAAGCATCACCTCCTTAATGGAATAAATGCTGAGAAATAAATTAATAGAATGTGATGCACTCAAAGATCATCTGGACTCCCTCAACAGAGAATGGCATAGATGCTGAGGGAAAGCTGTTTTAGATTGCATACAGTGCACAGGTACTGGGAATCTTGAATACAGAATTGCAATATTATGTGTTGTTTCTTCTCCAGAAGGTTTGAAGTCTAATTAGCAGCTTACAATACTGGTGATCTGTGGGTTAATGGTTAGTGTTTCCTTACCCCATCAACAGCCCAGAAACCTAGAAATCCCTGTTTGATTAGGAGACTCTTATAATTTCTAGAACCCAGTGGCCATTCCCCCACTTGTGCTGTTCCCAGGGGATGGACTCACAAGAACCCTTATAATTCAGTTTGTTTTGATTTATGAGCAAATCCAAGTCTCCAACTTTGTTCCTGATGAACATGGATGTTTCCAGTAAGAGTATATTTACCAAGTATTTTTGGATAAAATAGAATAATGGTGTTTACATGATTGCAGTCATAAATAAAAGTGTGCATTTCCTCATTACTTGCTATCAAATAAGTTGCCTGTTTGTTACCAACAATGCACATAGGAGCTTCATCATGGAGCCCACATTTTTGAGCTTCTGTTAGTGACTCCATTAATAATGGTAAAATAATGAAAATGTGTGTTATGAGAAAATTGCCCTACCTTGCACCATGAGTGGTTATCTTTAATTGACTGCTTATTAATTATCATGAACAACTGTTCAGGATTTAGAGTTTACAGAGAGCTTTTGCATATGATCTCAACTCATGGTAGGGGTTGGCAATCTTCATTATGCAAGGACTAATAATATCTTTAAAACTGGTGCATGAAAATATCTCAAAGAAAAAACCACCAAAATAATCTTTGAAACATTCCAGATTCATCAAAAATGTTTTTGTTATGATTTTGGAATAAAATAACTATCATCTCTGAATATAGCATCTTTCTGTAATGCTTTTGATTAGAAGGCCCAGGCAGTAGTATTGTAAGTTTGAAGACAGTCTAGGCAGTACCAGCAAATTCCAAGCCAACTTGAGCTACACAGTGCTATCACTTCACAGAACAAGTCAGAGATAGTTCCTTAATAGATTGGGGCCAATCACAACACTGTACCAAGTAATCATATTGAATTGTTATTGCTACACAAACTGCAAACATTTTAATTCTTAAGCTTCACATACTTGGGGGATGTGTATATACCCTTGAAGGCATCACCACAAACACCAGAACAAACTATCATCTTCAAAAGCTTCTTCATATGTCTCTTATTTGTCTTAAGGAAAGAGTATTTAACATAGACCTCAGTATAACTGAGTGCACAGTTGATTATGGTCACTGGGGGCACTGTGCATTAATGTGGCACTGTGGGAATTGTGCATCCTTCATATAACTGCCTCTGAGTAGCAAGTGCTAGCTCTCCAACCCCCAGCCCCTGGGATGTTACAAGTCTCTGCTTCTTAGACATGACTCTCATAGAAACCTCATCCGAGTGGAATTATAAAGTATGGTCCTGGGCTAGGCATGTTTCACTTTGCATCCTCAAATACATCCATGCTTCTCTGACAGACTTCCTTGTAGACTTCTGAGAAACGGAGGGTTTGCAATGGCCCTGCTGTCTCTTCAGAAATGAACCTGCTCATAACAGATGCTGTTTGCTGACACTAAGTGGGCAGCAGTCAGGAGTCACCTGGGAGATTCTTAAAGAACACTTGGCTACTTAGGTCAGGATATCTCTTTTGGGGTATAGATGTAAGAGATGGTTTCACTGTGTAGTCCTGGCTGCTTTGGAATTTACTTGTTAGTATTGTGTGATATTTTGTTTGTGTTCTGACAAGTACAGCTTGCTTGGAGATCAGAGAAAGGAGCTAGCTTCTAGTTAACCATAGAGGCCAGGCAGTGGTGCATTGTTTAATCCCAGGTCTTGGGAGGTGGAAGCAAGAATCAGGAGTTCAAGGCTATCCAGGTTTACAGGAGATTGAACCAGTCTAAAAGAGAAACAGTACAGGCCAGTGGTAGTTCACACCTTTAATCCCAACACCTGGGAGGTTCATGCCTTTGATCTCAGCAGCTGGGAATTTGAAGCTTTGATCCCAACACATGAGAGGCCTCACCCTCTTGGAGACTGAATGTTATGTGAACATTCTGTGAGAAGGAGCTGTGCAAAAAGAAATGATGGCTTTCTTTTCATTTGTCCTCAGTCTGTATTAAAGACATGGTTGTGTGAAAGGCTAGATGTGTACAGAGACATTAAAGCTTCAGCCTTATTGGATTCCTTTACATCTTTGGTGGAAATCACTCCCAGGCTGTGCCAAAACTTAACTACATTCGTGGGTATCATGCTTTCCATCTGGTCCAATGAGAATTGTGTCGTATTTCTCATGTTTCTTATTTAGATTTCCAATGTATGTTAAGTGTTTGCTGAATATTTTATTTAGGTATTTATTTGTAAGTCTTGGTCTGTGAAATAAAATGAAGTAATTTGAAGATATGTTACTTCCACCATAATTTTATTCAGCTGTATCGTATACAGTGTGAATATATCAAATTCACACTGAATTTGTAGATAGAAATTCCTGTTTCCACTTTTTAGTAAGTTAATTGAAGTGTTTATTTCTAAATGTCAAAATAACAAAGTAATGATATGTGTTAAATGTCAACATATGCTTTCTCTTTTATCTTAAGTTTCAATATTTATAACTTATGAGCATTTTTGGTGTTACATATTTGCTATTAATTTTAGTTTTGCAGTGCAGACAAGAGAAACATGGACAGGAGAATATCCTAAAAAAACTCTACCAAATGGACTACATCATGAAAAATGAATGCAACTTAAAAGAACAAATTTTCAATAATAAGTCTACTGAGTGTGATGCCCTCAAAGATCATCTGAACTCTGTCAACAGTGAATGGAAGAGATGCTATGGGGAAACTAAGATTGTTTTAGATTGCATACAGCACACAGGTATGGAGGAGATCATGAATAAAGAATTAAATTATTCTGTATTGTTTCCTCTCACTAAACTTTGACGTCAAATTAGCAGGCTATGATGGGGTTTCCTTATACAGTGCAGGGGCCTGGAACTCTAGAAATTCCTGTCTGATTTAGGAGAATCTTATAGTTTCTAGAATTTCAGTGGCCATTCTGGCTCCTAATGCCCCTAGGAGATGGAAAATCAGGTCAGCACCCTTGAGAATTCAGGTTGTTTTGCTACATGAGCAAATCCAAGTGTCCAAATCTGTTGCTGACAGAAAATGGAAATTTCCAGTTAGAGCCTATTTATCAAATATTTAGGCCAAACATAAGTGTGTGTGTGTGTGTGTGTGTGTGTGTGTGTGTGTGTGTGTGTGTGTGTGTGTGCTTCCCTTTTCACACAGAAGGTCTGTTTGCAATGAAATTATCCTTCCTGCAGTGCACATGGCAGCTTCCCCATGGTGCCTACACTCATTAATCTCAATTAGTGACATTGTTAATGATGCAGAAAAGATGAAATATCGTGTTACAAGGAACCTTTCTTACTTTGCACCATGACTAATTAGCACAGCTTGCCAATTATTATTAACTATTTGTTCACAGATTATGGGTTACAAAGACATTTTATATGAACTCACTGTGTTGGGATAGTTGGAGTTGACAATATTCATTTAGTAAGGACTAATATTATCTTTAAAACTGATAGGTTATAATGCATACAACAGGAAAAGAAAAATAAAAAGCTCCAAAAATATTTTTTGAAGCATTTCAGAGTCATTAAACATGTTTTCTGTTACTATTTTAGAATAAAATAATTGCCATTATTCAATGATAGCATAATGCTGCAATGCTTGTGCTTAGGAGTCTGAGAAAGGAGCATTGTAAATTTGAGGAGAGTCTAGGCAGCCCAGCAAATTACAGGTCTTCCTGAGCTACACTGTGATACATCTTCATAGAAAAACAAAGGTTGGGGATAAAGCTCACTATAGACCACATCCATCCCCAACACCTCACCAAACAAAATAATTATACTGAGATGTTGCTACACAAAGTGCATACATTTTAATATTCCCAACGTGACACATCTGGGCATGTGGGGATACCATTGGAGGTGTTACCACAATAAAAAGAACAAATCATTCCCTTCCAAAACATCTTAATGTGTTTCCTAAGGTAAGAAATTTAATAGAGACCACAGCACAGATCTAAGTGTACAGTAGTATGTGGGTCACTGTGGGTACTGTGTGTTACTCCAGACCTAGAATTCTGTCATCTGTGCAACTGCCTCTGAGCAGGAAGTGCTCATTTTCCTTCCCTCCAGCTCTCAGCATTTTACAAGTCTTTGATCCATAGAACTGGGCTGTGGTAGAAACATCTTCTGAGTGGAATCATAAAGTATGGTCCTGAGAGTGGCTTGTTTCCTTTGCATCTATCCTCTAATTCACCCATTCTTCTCTGAGGGACTCTCTTGCATACTTCTGAGAAAGGCAGGAGATTGATTGAAAAGACCCTGCTGTCTCTTTAGTAATGGGTCTCATAACCGATGTTGTGGTACTGACACTAAGTGAGCAACAGGCAGGAGTAGCCTGGGAGACTCTTACTGCACAGTGGGTCACATGGGTCAGGATCTCCCTTTTGGGTGTTTGGATGTGAGACGTGGTTTCATTCTGTAGCCTAGGCTGATTTGAAATTCACTGTAACCCAGGATGTCCTGGATTTCACTACTCAGCCAAGGATGGCCTCACACTGGTGGTGATCCTCCTGACTCACTCTGTGGAGTGCTGGGGTTACAGCCATAAAACATGCCAGGCAAGATTTACTTCCCTTTAAAGGCTAAATAGCTTTCCATTTTGTGTATGTGCTACATTTTCTCTACATTTTCACCAAGAAAGAACACTAAAGTTGTTTTCATTATCTCTATTGTGATAAACAGTGCTGTATAGAGCATGGGTGTGCAGGGGTCTTTTAGCATTCTAGAAACTTAATTTCTGAGAACTGTGAGATTTTACTTTATTATATAGGCTTTTTGCCCTGGTGTGTATGTGGGGGACTATGAGAGCCCATCCCACTTGAAGGGATGCACTCTGTCTCTGAACACATGGGGAGGGACCTAGGCCCAGCACAGGAAGATTTGGTGAACTTGGTGGAGCCCCGGTTGGGGACCCCACCCTGCCTGGGGAGTGGTGGGTGGATGGTGGGGGTAGGTTGGAGCTGGGGGAGAAGGAATGGGGGTGAGGGGAGGGAGAGGGAGAGGGGAATTACATGTGAAACAAGCTTGATCCCTAACATGAATTAATAATAATAAAAAGAAAAAAAATACATTGATCTGAAAACAAAGTACCAGAAAATAAGAATTTTCACCATTCCCTTCTCTGTTGCAGGTAAACGTGTTGAAGGACACTGGTTCTGCTGTGGCATAAAATGTTATTATTTCATCATGGACAATAAAAGCTGGAATAGATGCAAACAGACCTGTGAGGACTGCAGCTTATCCCTTCTGAAGACAGATGATGATGATGAACTGGTACCGTAGACTCTTACATATTTCCTTATTCTTAGATTCCTTCTCTAACAATTGGATAATGAGATTTGAGCCTAGTTGGGTTTTTCAAAAAAGAAAGTCCTTCAGGGGTTGGTTGTAGGTGGTTTTCTTGTAATGCGAGCAAGAACCATGCATTAAGAGTTTCCCAGTCCATTCCTTTCTGCTCTCCATTTGGTGTCAGGACACAGGGTCTGTTATGAGGACACTATTACTAAAGAGACAGTTGTCTTTTAAATCTCCCCACTTTCTTAGGAGTTTGCAAGAGAGTCACTCACAGAGGCATGCCTTCCCCTGATGAAGTTTAACCATTTGGTGCAGCAATACTACAAGTGACAGTTACTTATCTCCATAGAATGCCACCTGAATCCCCAGAAGCAGCTGTCCAGGGCTTGGTCTTTGGAACCCAGAAAGGAAGCTGCTTGAGATGAGTAACTAGGTGACAACAGGGAACGTAATTGACCTCTGGTCCAATCTGCAAAATGGAAATGATGAGAGAACTGTGCAACAAAACAGTTACACCAGTTAACCCATGGGATTTTCACCAAATCTGTTCACAATATTTACTTCAGAATATTCTTTGTATCATAAAAGATGTGTGTGTTTGGAAACAAGTATTTAAAAGAAAAAAAAGTGGCCAAATATTGCCATTGTCTGATTATATTTATTACTAAAGAAATGTCTATATACGTAGATTATATTTTTCTAGAGAAATGCTTGCAGGATCAGTTTGAAACTTTGTTATTTAGAATATGGTGAAAATTGGCACGGCAATTTAACATGTTTAAAAAATTACAGCACAAAATAATTATTAATGTTGATACAGTAAATATAGCTAAATTTAAACCTATATTCTAAAACGTATTCTGATATTTAATGAGATATCATGCCGCTTGGATGTTGCATGTTGGATACATGGAATGTTTTCTAAAATCATCCCCTTCATGAAGTTCTGTCATTTTTGGATCTGAACTACAGCATGGCTTCCTCTCTGGAGAAGGGAGCTTAGATTCACAGATTTTCACATAGGACTTTTCATCTTAATGAATTTGCTTTGAAGACAGGGGACCACTTATGATGAACACTGCCCACATGCTTCTGTAGTGTTTTGGAAAAATTAGTTGAATAATTTTATAAAATGTCAGAAAGTATTTAATGAGCTAATATGTAGTGCATCCTTGGAGACCTGATGCAGGAAGACTAATCAGTTAAAGATTAGCCTTGGCTACACACCGAGGTTTTTGTGTAAGAAATACAGTCACAGATCATTTAATGAATGGAGTATCACTGGACACTTGAAGTTTTCATGTTAAATAACTGATGAAACTGACATTGGTTTTGACCTAAATGAGCTACTAGTGAGAAACCACTTTAGAAAATGAACACGGAGGAGCAGGACAGGACAGCAGCGAATTGACATGAATAGCTGGGAATTATTCTGGTCATTTTTTCTTACCAAACAGAACTATTAAACAATGTTGTTCCCTTTACAGACTGTCCTTAAGTCCCAACTTTATCCAAAGACTTACTGGATTGGATTGTCATATGACAGGGGAGGCAAAGAATGGCAATGGATTGATAGTGGCTCATCTAAACTGTGAGTTTTCTGAGCCCTCGCTCTAACACTGTGGCAGGAGTTGGGAGGATGGTGTGCAAAGGCTTTTCTCTCATTTCACAAGGGTTTCCTCATTTTCAGTGGAGCTCACAGGTAAGGACAAGGTGCAGAAGGAAGTGTCTGAGCAAGACTTAGGCAGGGAAAATGAATGGTCTAGAAGTTGACTGCCATTCATGGAATACTGAACATAGCTCAGTATTGTGTATCCTAAGTTGCACAAGGCACAAAAAAATAACCAAAAATGTAAGAGCACATAAAGTCAATGGAGCATCCTGACAGACACAGTGAGTGTGAGTATCTAAAACATTCACTTGACTTGTTTCTGTAGTTACTTATATAACTGTTTACAAATAAAAGAAAATGTTTATATGTACATTAATGTATGTATCTATTTTATATTTCAAAGTGTTGTATTGTATAAAATCTAAGGTTTATGTTCATTTCTGAGGTGGTAGAAAACTGTTCACTGATTTTTCTTTATTAATAATATTTATTCATCTATAAATATATTGAAAAGGTGTCTTCCTTGTAGTTGCACATACTTTTAATACCAGGACATGGGAGGCAAAGGCAGGGGGATCTCTGAGTTCAAGGCCAGCCTAGTATGCTGAATGATTTCCAGGACAACCAGGGCTGCATGGAGAAACCTGTCTTGAAAGACTGCCT